CCGCATGTTCTCACTCATAGGCGGGTGTTGAACAATGAGAACACATGGACACAGGGAGGGGAGCACTACACACTGGGGTCAGTTGGGGGGAAATAGAGGAGGGATGGTAGGGGGGTGGGAAGCTGGGGAGAGATAGCAAGGGGAGAAATGCCAGATGTAGGTGATGGGGAAGAAGGCAGCAAATCACACTGCCACGTGTGTTCCTATGCAACAATTTTGCATGTTCTTCATATGTACCCCCAAACCTAAAATGCAATAAAATAAATAAATGGGAAAAAAAAACTATGGACTTTGGACTCAGACAAACTGAGTTCAAATTCATACTTTGATGGTTAACAACTGGGGACCTTGACCAAGTGATTTGTCTTCTCTGAGCTTCAAATTTCTCTTACTTTAAGTGGCTCTAATACATTCAACTTCATAGAGTTCCTAAGAGGATTGAATAAAATAATGTACATGGAAGCACCAAGCACAGTTCCTAGCACGCAGTATACCCTTAGTAAATGTTAGTGTCCTTCTAGTTAAGAAGCTGAGTAAATTTCCAATGCTTGACATTATCTCTTCTAGCTAAAGTAAGTTAATAATTGACTGTCAAAACCAGGTCACAGAAGAGCTAGGAAAGAGTAACAGCGTCGTCCTTCAGCTCAGTGTTTTAAAGCAGAGTTTTGAAAATTTATGACAAGTACATATTATGGACATTAAAAAAAAGATTTAACACCAAAAAATGGGAATTACATTATCTCAGAGAAAGAAAACTGACGATATGCACACTCACACACTCACACACAGACACACTGACACATGAACCACATTATTTTCATTTTTCTCATTGCTTACAAATCAGACCAGCTTGGACTTGGTCCTGTTGGGAGGTACTGTTCTAGAAGTAACACTGAATCTGTCTTCTCTGGCCATACAACACCAGGAGTCAGGGCATCTAGCAACCTTCCTCGGGACGCAGGAAGAGAGGTGTCACAGACCACTGGCACACCTGCATCTCCGTGAAACTGGCATGGCAGCAGTCACAAATTCGAACCACCCTGTCCTAGATTTCTCAGGGTATACAGAGAACCAGCTACTCTTTCCATTTCACTTGTGAAAAAACTAAGACATAAAGAGGTTAAAGGATTTTTCTAATTTACATTGATTCAGTGGTGAAAATAGGACAAGAAAGCATATTTTTATATGGGACCACTGTTCAAAGATTTGAGGGCTATCTACCCAGACACCTATGCACTCCGCAGGCAAGATAAACAGAACAAGTAGGGCAACTATAAATCTGCTGGTATCAATCGCCACAACAAAAATAGCACTTATGCCCTTTTTTATTCCCAAGAAAATGTGTCTTCTATAAGCCAATTATTTAAAGAAACGTTCACATGTGAGTGATTTTTTTATTATTTTTTATTTTTTTGAGGTGGATTCTTGCTCTGTCACCAGGCTGGAGTGCAGTGGCGCAATCTCGGCTCACTGCAACCTCCGCCTCCTGGGTTCAAGTGATTCTTCCGCCTCAGCCTCCCGAGTAGCTGGGACCACAGGCGCGTGCCACCACGCCTGACTAATTTTTTTGTATTTTTAGTAGAGACGGGGTTTCACCGTGTTGGCCAGGATGGTCTCGATCTCTTGACCTCGTGATCCGCCCACCTCGGCCTCCCAAAGTGCTAGGATTACAGGCATGAGCCACCGCGCCCGGCCGATTTTTTTTAAAGATAAAAACATGAAGACCAGGTACGGTGGCTCACGCCTGTAATCCCAGCACTTTGGGAGGAGTGAAGTGGAGGAAGAGGTACCTTGAAACTACAGAGGAGGAAACTGAGGCCCAGAGGGGAAAAGTGACTTGATTGACAAAAATTCGATTCTGGTCTTTGTTCTGCCAAAGGTTCGTTGTGAGATGGGAACAAGTTTCACCCTTACCATCTCAATCTGATGTTGAAACCATGGTGCTTCACATTCTAAGGACTGCTGTCACCAACATGCTAGCTCAAATGCAAAGCGAAATGCTTTGAATTCATGTGAAGAAAGGTTTTGTAGTGAGTCAAAGCCTTGTCGTTGACAAATAGTTATATGCCAAGCTACATTTGGGAGTGATGATATTTTCTGCTGCTGGTGTCTGTCCTTTAAGAGTCAGGTGAGCACTGCAGGTGGAGATGAGAGACAAGTTTCAGCTGCTCAAAAATGTCTCTTTCCCCCATCGACAGGTGCCAGGGCCTGCAATTCCCACCATCTGTCTCATCTTTGGGTTAAGACAGTGCTTTCATTCATTTGTTCATCCATGTGTTTAACCAACGGTTATTAATCTAAGCCCCTGCTGCGTACCAGGCAGGTACCAGGTGTACAGTGGCACAGTGCCTTCATGAAATCTATCATCTACTGAGGGACATGTTTGTACTTTCTAGTAAAATCTATGAAGGAAAAGAGAATAGCAGAGGACTCAATTGGGAAAGAGACTTGGAAGCTGTCGCTGAAGGGTGGGAAGGAGTTAATAGAGTATTGAGTGGAGGAGAGGCTTTCTGGGCAGTGGCAGCAGCATTGGCTAGAGGCCAAGGCTGAGGGCAGTGAAGAGCTTGGTGAATTCCAGGAAATGCCCTTGAGGCTGAAACAAAGAATGTGAGAAGGTAAGTTGTAGGAAATAAATTGGAGATTTTACCAGGGTTTGTATCTGCAGAAAGTGTTTTTACCAGAAGAATGTTGCCTTCCATGTGACATATGCAGCCACTGGATAACTTGGTAGCAACGATTGCCTCAAGACAGCTGGTCTCAGCCAGTGAGTGACAAAGAGTAGATCTGAGGTGGGCAGAAGGAGAAGGGAGGGGACACTGGGAAGGAGCTCTGTCCCATCTGGAGGGCCAAGGGCCGGGGTGAAGACTGGTGCAGCAAGGGGTGGGAAGCCTGATGGGGTGTGAGCCCCCTAAGGCTGAGTCACTTCCTAGATTGGGACTTACTGAGGCTGCCTAAGCAACCACACACTCCATGGGACCTGCTTCCGAAATGGAAGTATAGCCATGCCATCTTGAAGCTGACCAGGGAGATAGTCTAGTCCAAGTTGCTCAGTTTACAGGTTATGATTCCGTGGCCTAATTCAGGTGAAGTGAAAGCCACAGCTGGTTGTAGTGAGCTTTGAAGGCTGTTTCCCAACTCTCATGCACCATGCCATCTCCTCATTGATGGTGAGCATCTCCGTGTAGTCAGAATCAGCTCTCAGGGGCAACTGGGTCATATATGGAGATAGTAGGTGCCCAAGAAACACTTATCAAAATAATGTATTCTCCATATCAGTTTTCTTCAGTTTCTTTTCAAGTGTATACAGATTGAAGACTGAACCAGACCACTACAGACCCACACTCATACGAACTTATGATTCATCAACATTCTTCCCAGAAATTGCCATTTTACCAGTTAAAAACAATATTTTAGATTGAGAATATTTAAGAACATGAAATACACAAATTGCATCATTATACCCATCAAAGACATTGACTAGGATCTGAAATTGGTTTCTAAAAACTTAATAAACTATAGGCATTGAGATCTACAGTATGTTCATTTAAGGGGTGGGAGAAAATTTGGAGCTAGGTGAAGGGGCAAATAATGGATTATTTCACTTCTAGGAAAGATTATATTGAAGAAAAAACTAAAATCAGTACTTTTGATGTTATAACAACAGAGATAATAGATAACAAGTGAATCGTAGGAATTAGTAAAATTTTGGCTCTGAACATATCTTTTTTTTTTTTTTTTTTTTT